AGGGGTGGACCCATCCTGAGTGAAGACATTTGCCGACTGCTACAAGAACTGCTCTACAACGGTACAGCTTTTCTATCGTCCCCTTAGCATACCAATCTCAAAGGGGGTTCGAAAAAGCGACACCGTGTCACCAAAACTGTTTACCGCCGCGTTGCAGCGGGTGATAAAATTACTAAATTCTAACGAGAGAGGTATACGAGTTGATGGGAGATTCTTCTCGAACTTCGCTTTGCGGACAACATTGTTCTCTTCTCGAGAAATATCACTGAAGCAGAGGCGATGTTGAAGGAACTGAACGAAGTAGGGAAGGGGAAATGCGAATCAACCGGAAGAAGATCAGTTCATGAAGAACGCTTTTTGCGAGGATTGGGAAATGGAATTAGAAGGCTCTCCAATTGCTGAGACGTCTTCTTACTTATGTCTCGGGCGTTCGATGAACATGGAGAATGATCTGAAAAAGGAAGTAAACAGGAGGCAAAGAGCAGCTTGGCCCGCCTTCGGGCGCTTGAAGGAAGCCGCAGACCAGCTGAAGGAGCTCCGAGCCCACCTGTTCGATTCAACTGTTCTCTCTGCGCTCTGCTACGTAGCAGAGACGTGGCCTGGCAGTTGGCTACGTCAAAGGCTTCCCGAACAATCCACAGAGCGCTGGAACGACGTCTTCTGAAATACAACCGACATGCTCAATATCTTGTCGGGCTTCGCAGTTCAGATATGAGGTCACTGTCTCGTCTTCGCGTTCCAGCGGAATACGACTCTCTGGCAAAGCATCGATGGACTGGTCATATAATGAGAAGGACAGACACAGATGGACACTGAGAACTGTGGAATGGATTCCTCGTGAAGCAAAACGTCCTCGAGGGAGGCCACCGACCAGATGGCCTGACATGTTCGTTACACGGATGGACCAGCTGAATTCTCAGGTGGTAACGAGTAATGGATCTGGACCTCGCGAATGTCGCCGCCGCAGTTCAACATCAACATCGTGGATGACGCTAGCGAGAGACAGAGTCGGACGGAAACAGTGCTGTGGCCAGTCGCGGAACTTGAGATTTACTATGTCGCAAGGTAATTGGCTATGCTGGTTACGGAAATTATATCCATTCTCCAAAAAAAGTATTTTAATGTAGGACTCCGGTTGGCGCGCCCAGAGTAAAATCACTGGATCGATCTTTGACCTTCCCATCGTATATCTACCCTAATTCTAAAGTGGAGCCTCCTGTAGCATGCGGGTATAATTTTTGTAATCAGCATACACCCTCGAAGACCACTTCTCACGTAATCCAAGACTTTGATCCCTGTAGCGCTTAACTACCATAATGTTACTGCCAAGACCCTATAGTGAAAGATGCATATCGTTTCCGTGTTTCAGCATATTCTAGTACCGGATGCCATGTAGCAGTTTTCGAGCTTCAATCCAAAATATAAAGGTGCTGGTTGAGGTTTGATCATTTAAACCCTTCAACCATTCTATAGCGCAACCGAAATCATTGGAGAGTCCAAGCGTATTGTTTATAGGGAATGACTTCTTGCAAATAATACGATGATTTGCTACTAAAACCTCTCTTTGAGTGAAAACGGTACTAACTTATTTGGCTTACACACAAACTGTTTTATTCAAGGCTTGGGGTCTGTCTAATCCAAGATTTCTTAGGTCCATCTCTTGTCCATCTGTCTCATTTTTTCCTCCTTCATCGTCATTTACCTAGCACTACCAATGACAGATCCAACCTTATCATGTGGTTCTTCCCTCTTGCTGTATTTTCATAACAGCCCAAAAGCCTCTACCACATCTTCTTTTGGACAATTGGAGCAATCTCATTTGTCTAATTATGTCGGTGCAGATGTGGCTCATACAGAGACTCAGAGGAGTATCCTAGTCTTCTTGACAATGAACTCACCTTCTTCCTTCCGTGTGCTTGCACAATATTCACTGTAATTAGTGCTACTAGGAATATCATAGTA